ATCATAATTATATTAAAAGGCATGTTCTCTAGATCAGGAGCAACTTTTTTTTTTGTCTTCCTTCAGTTTAAAAGAAACCACACTTGCAAATAATATATGACACTAAAACAAAAAACAAACAAACAAACGAGTCTTACCATTTTTCTCTTTGTTCGCCGACTAGACCACTAGACAGATCGTGTCTGAAAGAGATTATGAATTAGAAAGACTTAAAAACTTTTTTAGAAGTATCATCTAACATTCATCAGTAATCCAATCTTCTCCACAGCCAAGGTAAAACCAGCTCAGAGTGTGTAACAACATAAAATCATCACGTTTAAAATAAAGTAAAAATAAGAAAACAACTAAGCATTTATTTATTTTATTTTTTTGCTTAAAAGTATCAGGAAGTTTGGCTTAGGTATCGAAGAAAAACTTTCTGGTTAAGGAGCTCAAATTCGCAATCTAGATAAAGTAAACTTACCTTTACATTATTCCATAAGTAGCCTTAGCATGGCTCGTTTCTCCTGTGGGATCATGCAGACAGACTTATTAGTCCAGTTCCAGCATGAATCTGTCATAATCCTGATAATCAAGACCAAGATCAGTTTAAAAGACTTTCGAACATATAACAAAAGTTAAAGTACTTTTGTTAATCTGAGAGTGTGTAACAAACACATCATATGAACATGTATACTTTATAGCAATTGCAATCTTGCAAACTTACCGAAAACTTCCCCCAGGAGAAAACCATCTCATCGCTGCCGATCTTGCCTAGAAAAAGAAAAATCGTTTCACTTCCTGGACAGCAATAACTGATCATTCTTCGACCTTTAATCTATTCAGTGAATCTAATTTCCTGCAGAACAAAATCCCAACTTTACACAGGGTTTGTAACAACTTAATATGGTGAATTTAAGTATAAAACAAATTAAGGATTGCATAAAATGACATTTAAGTAACTACTTATGGATGTAAAAGCTATCTTCTCCCCCAAATATTGCACCCCTGTTTAAAAGAATTTAGAGAAGACAATGTTTCCAGTACGAAAATAACCTTCATATCTTGTGTTTATTAGTAATACCGAGCCTATGATCCACCAGCTTGGGAATTCAATTTGGTGAAAAAAGTCAAGTTAAACAAGACTAATTACCTTTAGGCTTCCTCTTGATGCACCAGGTTCACTGCTTAACCGCGAGTGCCATAAGCCATAAACCTGAAACAAAGAGGGTCAACATTAATGCATTGTTTATCAAACCCATCTCCAAGACATCCAACAAATTTGTACACTGCAGCAGCTTAAAAATAGTAGGCAAATACTAGGCCACGAGTGAACTGGCAATGGGAAAGGCCCTGGAATTATAATAACTGCAGCCAACGAAACGATGTAAAACAAGTGGTCAGTCTTATTATAATGAACTACTGATGAATGACAAGAGTTATTTTAGTTCTGGATAAGATAATTATTGGATTTTTCCGATCCAGAAAACCTAGACAATTACCAATTCTAAATTATATAACTAAAGACATGGAAAACCGTTTTAGAGAATATCAAAGTCTTGATATTACAGCAAAATTAGCGAGAAAAAGCCTGACCAAGACATTGGCAAACATACGAGAGAATCGCCCCCCCACACCACCCCCTTTTCCGCTAATCCTGCAAAACCCATTTCTCCTTATTGTTATAGGGGACTCCCCATTCCCTGTTTAATGGCTTCCGTTTTCAATGGTACGGGTTCCTCCTGCCACTACTAGAGATGAATTAATCTGCAGTGCAAGATTACAACATTTAATAGAAGTCTAAATTCTAAAATAGGTCTCCAATATTTAGCGACTCGACCGAGTGCCAAGAATAAAATACAGCTTACTATTTAGACTCAAGTAATTTGGTTTAAGTGAAGTAAAACGAACGAAGTTTTAAGTGTCGAGATCTGTCACTTTAAACTAATTCTGTACATTTGTTTCTTGTTGTCACTGCCAGTAACAATTACTGCCAAGTTGACATTAACAAGATTTTTTTTTTGCTCTTGCACCCCATCAGACCATACAATCCAAGTTCAACTATATGGTAACAAAGAGTGCGCAGTAGTCGTTTTGAAACTACAGTCAATTTTTCTTTTTTTTCGATAAACTTACTGCAAGATTTTTAAACCTACCTCCTAATTATTTTATTGAAGTCCAAAATGCCCATGGGTTATGAGGGCGGAGGTCGACCTGCGTACGGTGTTCTGGCTCCATACTTAGTTGTCCATTTGCAGTGTAGGGGCGGCTTGACGATGACCATAGCCATAGCTGTTCCTGAAATATAAAACGGATGATGAATCCTGTTTACCGTTTTGCAAATCAACTTATTCTGCAGGTTGAAAATTTGAGGGGAAACTGAAATATTGCTGTAACCAGGCTGTAATATTCTATTATTAGAATCTACTTCAGACACTGGAAAGATTGTAGCCATCAAGTCATCAGCAGAGGTCACGGAGTATGCAATTTAAAACAATTTAAAACAATTTAGATTTTCACAAGTAAATTACTAATCAGTCCCAAAGAGGCTTTAAATATCCTTTATGGGAGCACAGAAATGTTACTCTGAATGTAATATTGCTGCTAGCCTATAGACATGCAACTTCAACATTTCAAAGTTTTTCTATGGCACCGTATCTGCCACACATTCGGTAAGAGGAAGTGCATGGAAACGAGGGTGCTGCAGACACTTGGGGATGAAGATAAACAAAGTTTGAATGCATGATCTATCAACGCATATGCAGAACTCTTAAGACGCACATTCGTCAGGGTAAGGCTCAAACTTTTTGGTTATTCAAAGGGCGTTTCTCTATAAATGAACATTATTTCTTGGTCTGTCGACGCGTCATACTTTGCAAATATCGCTTCTAACCTGAGTGTAAAAACCTATTTATCGGAAACCTCACTAAAAACCACTGAACATTTACATGTGCTATTACCTTCAAATACTATTACCACATGCTGCAGTATTTGCAACATCTGCAATTACACGTACCTTATTTGTCATCCGAAGTCAATGACGCAGCGAATCACCCCAGATCCAAAGCGATCTCTCACACTCAGCATTTCATATTCAATACAGTGGCTTCTTCTCGACGATTCCTGAAATGAAAAATTACCCTCAGTGAAAATAATAGAGTATTTTAATATAATCAAGCATACATCAGATGCACTTAAAAAATAAATAAATAAATAAACATAGTATTCCCTTTTAATCTTAGAAGGCACAGGTAAGCAACGTAGAAGTTAAAAGCGAACCTGCCGCATTCTGTAGGAAAAGTTAAATTTACTCGGGGGGGGGGGTAGGGGGGGGGGGGGAGGCATCTTAAGATTATCTAAGGTACGTGAAGAACGAGGTGGCCGAGGATGAAATAGGGGAGGTGGCAATGGGGGGACAGAGCCTTTCCAAATCTTATTTTTAAAAAACTAATAAATGCATTTCATAAAAGGCTGAGAGACTAAAGATTAAACCGACCACCTTCAGTTTGCAAAACTAATCTAAATCTTAGATGTCAAGAAGTTCTTAAAGCCAAGTTATCTAATCTGTTGCACATCTTTCGTATACTACGTATTGAAAATTAGGTAATGTTCCTTCACAACCAAAGTTTAGGCAAGAGAGAAAGACAGGTGGGGTGTGGGGTTTGGGGGAGGTGTTGGGAGTGGTAGGGTGTTGGGGGTGAGGGGGTGGGGGGGTCGATTTGTCCGACCGTGGGAATAGGTACAGGCAGGGCGGCTCGTATTAAAAGCTATTAATACACTGCAACGGTTCGGGGACAAGCGGACTGCATCACATCTTCTAAAGCCGTATTTTTAAATAAAGAGATTCTACGGACTTCGTAAGAATCGATGGGGGGAGTGGCACGAATAAAAAATATATAAGGTCTCTTGGTCAGGATCTTAAAGAACGACAGCAGTTTTAATCTCAGGACTAGACAGTTAAAGGAATGTTGGTTAAAGATTCTCGTCTATTGAGGATACAAATAAATAATAAATGTTAATTTGAAGTGGTTTTGTAGTCGGCAAGAGTAGACTACTTCACCAATTTCAAAAGTTTTTCTATGGCACCGTATCTGCCACACATTCGGTACGAGGAAGTGCATGGAAACGAAGGTGCAAGGATACAAAGAAAAGAAAATGGCGACTGCAACAGGATGAAAAAAAAAAAAAAAATCATTACCTATCTAAATATATAATAATGTTTGATATCGTTCCTTTTGTTGAAATTATTGCAGCCGTTTACAGTTATGCGTTAGTGTTGTGCGTAAATACTTAATCGTCTGGTTACTTTGAAAACATCGAGCAAACTATACAGTCTCTGACATTAAACACTGAAATAAAATATCTTGCAATTCTCATATACACCTTTATAAGTATTCTTTCACCAGATTGCAAGGCACACAGCTCAAATTTATGTAACAAAACTAACAACCCCAAACTATATGAAGTCCTCTAGAAAAGGAGAGGAGGGGAAGCCGAAGGGATGGGGGGGGTGGAGGGGGGAGTGGGGGAGTGGGGGAGTGGGCGGGCGTGGGCGGGAGGCGGACATCAAGCTATAAATACAAGTCAAGGTGGCCAAGGGACAGTCAGGCCGCTCGGGAAATTCCATGTAGTGCCAAGTTGCGATGTATCTATTTCAACCCTTCATGCGACATTTATTAAATGCAAAAACCCTTTGCTTATGATGGGGAAATACATTAGTTTACGCAACGAAGAGGATACATCTATAATATCATTTAAATCATCTGTTGAATGGAGTCACCACAATAATAACCGATAATCAACCTTCCAACAAATGATGATAATAAACATTCATCACAATTAAAACACAAACGACACTGGCTATAACGGAAAACCTACCGCATGGCAGGGAAGCATCGCAGCGCACACGAGCAGGCGGAGGGACGATTAACAGGCTCCGCGGTCGTCGAGGAGACACTGAGGCCCGGTCAGGGAACGACCCTCTGACATCACCTCGTTAGCGTTCCCTGTGTCGCTTTCGG